GGAGGGTGTGCGCGCTGTGCGCGATGCCGTAAACGCCATCGCCTCGTGTGATGACGCGTGCAAGAAATCAAGCGTTCTTCGTGCACTATGCGTCGCCGGTGACGAGGCAGCGACGCACGAGGATGTCTTCACAGCTACTGGAGGCGTGGCGATTCCGGATTTAAGCGAGCTCAAAGATATGGAGGCTGCTTTCGATTGGAACGCTGCGAAGACGAATGGGCGGATCGAACCAGCGCGTGGCATCGACGCTGATTTGGACGCCGCCGAAGATAAGCTCGCCGCGGCGGACGCTCAACTAGCGGCCTGGTTGGAGGAAGCACGCGTCCAGCTCGGAGGACACAAGACAGAGGTGTGCTTTGTGAACGCAAACAAAGACACGCACCTCGTCGAGGTTCCGGATCGGTTAGCTGCAAAAGTCCCGCACAACTGGGTGCGAGAGGGTAAGCGTAAGGGTTTCGAGCGATTCACGTGTGGAGAACTCGAACCTCTTCGCGCGAAGCGCGCGACGGCACAGGAGGCGCGTGAGGAAGCGCTGTCCGGTGTATTTCGTCGCGTCGTCGCCAAGTTTTGCGAGAACGCCGGGAAGTGGCAAGCCGCTGCGAGCGTGGGTGCAGTCATCGACGTTTTATCTTCCTTGGCCGTCGCCAGTGACGAGATGTACGCGTCTTGCAGCGCCGTGTGCACGCCCAAGGTGCATCCAGCGCCTGCGCAAAGCGAATCGGCCACGCTCGTGTCCAAAAACCTCTCTCATCCCTGTGCCCTGTCGTTGGCGCGTTCGTTCGTCCCGAACGACGCTCGGCTGGGAGGGGAACACCCTGGGTTTTGCCTAATCACCGGTCCGAACATGGGTGGAAAGTCGACGTACATTAGGCAGGTGTGTTTGGCTGCCATCATGGCTCACGTCGGCGCGGATGTGCCAGCTTCTAAATTCGAGATGACCGCCATGGATGCGGTCTTCGTGAGAATGGGTGCGAAGGATAACCTCGCCGGCGGTCAGTCGACGTTCATGGTGGAACTCAGCGAAACGGCGGCGATGTTGCGTCGAGCGACGACGAACTCGCTCGTCGCGTTGGACGAACTCGGACGCGGGACGGCGACCGCGGATGGCACCGCCATGCGTTGTTACCTCTTTGTCGCGGACGAGCGCTGAAACTGTAAGGGCGCCGCGTTGGCGTCGTGCCGCCCTCGAGCGCACGGTGCGATCTTCAAAAAATCGTCAAAATCGTACACCAACTTGTCAGCGGTGCAGCACGACCACCCTTTCTTGGTCTCGTGGAAAATCGGCGCGCCGGAGTGAAAACGCACGCGTCGCCGGCGTTGTCCCGTTCGCGGAACTTCAATCCACATCCCGGACGCTTGCACGTTTGCCACGCGTCCGGGATGTGGATTGAAGGGGGCGACGGAGACGAACGATTGGTGCGTCGAGGCGCCGAGAGCGGTCGAGTTGGGCGAGAGCGCGAGTGGGGTGATCGTGAGCGCGTGCGCGGGATCGAGGAACTCGGTGTGCGTGACGACGAGGGATGATTCGTCGTCTTGCGAGGCGTACGCGTGGGGATGGAACTCGCATCGCGCGCTCGGATTTTCGTACGAGGAGCGCGAACGAGCTCATGCCGCCGCACGAAACCTGAGCCACGGGCGCCGGGAGCGAGACCTTTCGAGGCGGCCACAACAACGCGCGAATTGGCGCCCAATCTCTATCCGGAATCGATGTATTCCGATGCTCGGCGTTCGCATCCGGCGGCCCGGCTTGCGCGTACTCGTTCCCGCCGTAACCGTACGCCACCCCATCGGAATCGACGCACACCGCGTGCCAACCCCCGCTCGCGATCGCCACCACGTTAATTCGTTCCCCATCTTCAGTTTTCATCGATGAGTGCCTCTTCGGCGTCTTCACGTGTAACTCATCGCACTCCTCGTACGAAAATCCGAGCGCGCGATGCGAGTTCCATCCCCACGCGTACGCCTCGCAAGACGACGAATCATCCCTCGTCGTCACGCACACCGAGTTCCTCGATCCCGCGCACGCGCTCACGATCACCCCACTCGCGCTCTCGCCCAACTCGACCGCTCTCGGCGCCTCGACGCACCAATCGTTCGTCTCCGTCGCCCCCGGCGTCGGCGCCTCCGCCGCGCCCAACTGTCCATCCTCCCCGCATCCCCACGCGAAGAGCGTCGACGTCCCCCCACCCCTTCCCGACGCCGCGGACGGCATCGAACGATCGTTCCGACGCGTCCGAGCGTCGCGCGCGTCCAAACGCGCGCGCAATCAAATCAATCCTCAATCCTTCACACCGCTCCGACGCGCCCGAGCGTCGCGCGCGATCGCGACGCGCGTCCTCCGACGCCCCCGACGCGCGATCGACCCCTCGCGCGCGTCCACCGTCGTCGCCCACGCGCGCGTCGCCCGATGTCGTCCATCATTCGTGCGCGATGTGCGCACATCATCAATCATTCGCGATCGACACATCGCGACGCCGCGTCCGCACACGGCGCCGCGTCGACATGTCCGCGCGCGCGCGTCCACCGCTCGTGCGGCATCGCGTCGCCGTCGTCCCCGCGCGCGTCGAGCGCGTCGGTCGCGACGCGCGCGCGTGGGGTTTCGCACGACGGCGCGATCGCACGACGCGCGGCGATGACGACGACGACGCTCGCGCTCGGGCTCGGCCACGTCCTCGCGCTCGGTCGAGGCGACCGGGCGTGGGCGTTCGAGCGACCGCGGGCGGGGTACGCGCGGTACGTCGACGCGATCGATGGGTACCGCGTCGATCGACCGAGCGATTGGATCGAGGTCAAGGGGAGCGGGAACGATGTGTTTTTTCGAGACCCGAGAGAGGTGGAGACGAACGCGTTCGTGGAGGTGAGCTCGCCGACGAGCAGTGGGTACGGGTCGGTGAGAGACTTGGGGACGCCGGAGGAGGCGGCGGAGAAGGTGCTGGATCGGTATCTGGGGGAGTTGATGTCGACGCGTTTGGGCGTGCGCCGGGAGAAGGAAGTCGTGCGGGCGAGAGAGGTTACGGGGAAGGATGGGAAGGCGTATTACGACGTCGAGGTGAGGATTTCGAGCTATAGCGCGCGAAATCAGTACGGTTTAACGGCGGAGGATCGGCCGCAGTCGTTGGAGTGGGATCGGACGTTACGGGCGGCGCTCGGGACGGAGAACGGGAAGCTGTACGAATTGCGCTTGCAATCGCCGACGGAATCGTACGCGAGGAACACGGAGCGATTCGACGAGATGGTGGACTCGTTCCGAGTGTTCGAGGCGGATACGCCGAGCGTCCGCTCTGGGTTCGGGTTGTGATCGGGATCTCTAAAATTCGCCTCTATTTGTCGCTGCTAATGCTTAGATTTGATTACTTATAATTTTGCGAAGAAGCGTCACTTTCGCTCGAGCGTCGGCGCGTACCACTCACCGCTCTTCCTCGTGATCAATCGCGTCGGCGCCTTGAACAACGTCTCGTCCGCGGCGACGAACGCGGGAACGTCATCGTCACCGATGATCACGATAGTGCTCCCGCTTCCTGACATGAACACCACCGTTCCCTTGTCCTTGGTCGCCTCGGTGAGCTCCGCCTTTAACTCGGCGAGCTCCGGGAGAACCTTGAACGCGGGCGCTTCGAGATCGTTAATGCACACCGCTTCCGAGCACCCATCGCTCCCGATTCGCTTCAACAGTTCCAGCGGATCCGCGGTCGATCGTGAGTCGAGGTCCAAGGCTTTGAACACCGCTGGCGTTGAACATCCCATCGGCGGTTTCACCAAGAGCATCTTCGTCCCGAGATCCAACGGCGGCTCGACGTTGTCCACGATTTCCCCTCTCCCCGTGCAATACGCCGCACCGTTGGAAAAGAACACCGAGATATCACTCCCAATCTCCCCACTCCACTCCAACAACTCCGCCTCACTCGCCGGGTTCCCACAGAGCTCGTTCGCGGCGAAGAGCGTCGTCGCCGCGTTTCCGCTTCCGCCGCCCAAACCCGCGCCGTGCGGCACTCTCTTATCCAGCTCCACCCAAAAGTACTGCTCGATCCCCGTCTTCTTTCTGAACAGATTCAACGCCTTGATCACTAAATTACTCTCGTCCGTCGGTATGCTCGCGTCCGAACAGATCAGCGTGTCCTTCGTCTCGCTCGACGACTTTGCAAACTTCATCCCGTCGCCCAGGTCGACGACGTGGAACAGCGACGCCAACTCGTGGAACCCATCCGGTCTTCGAGCGGTGATTCTCAGGAAGAGATTGATCTTCGACGGCGAGAAGTACTCTCGGACGTCGATGCCGTCCGCCGCGAGCGCCCGCGCGAGCGACCCGCGCGGGGTGATGCGAGTGACTGAACGATCGCTTCGGGACGGATAGTTTTGTGTGCGATTTTTACGTCCCGTGTGCGCGCGCGCGGACGTTTGGGCGCTCAGAGACGACGCGCGTGCGAGCGACATCGTTGTTTCCGTCCGCACGCGGAGTTTCGCGCGCGCGTGACGACGGACCGCGTCGGTGTGTGCGGACGAGGTCTGTTCGGGCGTTGTTGGTATCTCATTCTTATCCGTTTCGTATTACACGCGCTCGAGTTCGTCTGAGATTGAATCGGTCTCGGAGATCTCGATCGGTTTGATCGCGGTGCGGAGCTCCATAGAGAGTGGCTCGGGGGTTTCGAGCGATTTCAGTTGAACGCTGAGGTCGTCCACGTCGACGAGGCTCTTGGCGTTTGCGCCGAATTGCTCGTACGGCGTGGCGGTGAGCGCGAAATCTATCGCCTCGGTGAATTGCTCTGGAGTGGCGGAGAATGGGCCGTCTAAATGACTCGGGATGATGGACTCGAAATCCCACGAGGCGACGACGTTCGACCATCGCTTAACGGTGTCACGTCTTCGTGGGAAGGCCAACACCGCGAGGATGGGCGGAACAAACATCGGCCTCGCGACGAGCGCCTCAAAATCATCTCTCCAGCTCGGATCCCACGTGAACCCATCCAATAAATCGTTGGCAATGTCGCCACTGAACTCAAATTTGACGGCGTTGGGATTGAAGAGCAAACCGAAGAGGACCGTTTTCCCCCACCCGTCGCTTCGCGCCTGCGCCGAGTTTGGCGGCGCGTCGCCCGGCTTATCCATCGATCGAACAAGTAGCGGCTGCGGGTTGATCTGGCACACCGGCGGCGCTTGCATGCTAACTTTTTCCATCACATCCGTGAGCACCACAGTCTTCGTTCGCTTGAGGTAAAACGCCGTATCGACGAACCACGGATCCTTAAAGTTGCGAAGCGACGACCCTCCGACGTGCAGCACGGCGTGCTCAATCTCATCCGCCCAAGGCACGTTCCGTTCGCCCCCCAGGCTTTCCATCGGCAGCGTCTTTGGCGACCCGTTCGGGTAGAACGGCACGTACGTCTCCAACGGCACGTCCACCGGAAAGGTCCAATTCTTTGGCGGCAACCACACGTCGGCGCTCGGAAAAAACTTGCTAAACGGACCGCTGTAAATCTTATGCTCGATCGCGGCGCTCCCGACGACGATGTGCTTCACCGGTCCGTGCGCGCGCTCCAACTCTCGCATCATCTTCACCAACTCCGGCGTGGGCGCGATCGGGTTATGCACCCATAATCCGCCGTCCTCCAACCGCGCCACCGTCATCCGCACGTTCACCAACACGTCCAACAACCCTTGGAGCTGATCAAACGTCCACACCTCCCCGCTCACCGCCTCCGCTCGCGCCGTCGCCTTACTTCCGTACGGCGCGAGCGGCAGGGCCCACCAATACGGATACCACCGCTCCGGGGCGATCGCCTTGGACGTCGCCGCGCCGTACGCGTCTTGCAGCGTCCGCGCGTAATTCGCCATCGCTCGCGCCGGTCCCTCGCTCACCAGCGATCCGAGCGCGGTTCCGAGCGCCAACAGGTTCCCTCGTCGGCTCACCCCAACGCCCGAGCTCTCGACGCGCGCGCGCGCGCCGTCGTCCGCGCTCGCGCGCGCGCGAGGGTTCATTCGCCGAGGACGCACCGTCGACCCATCCCTCGACCGCGACGCCAACGCCCGCGCGCGTCCTCCATCCACCGCGCTCGAACGCAGCGACATTATTCACCCGTCTCCACCGCCGACGGCGTCCCGTCACCGCCGCGCGCGCGCGACGCGAGGGGCGAATGATGCCGTCCCGATGGCCATCGCGTCCCGATGGATGCGCGCCACCGCTCCATCGTCGCCGCGCCGTCGACGCGAGCGCGCCACGCGCGCGCGCGAGAGAGCATGGGCGGAGAAAAATATCGCGACGACGTCCGCGGGCGACGCGCGGCGATCGCGCGCGCGACGTTCGCGCGGGCGGTGCGTCGAGAGGCGTCTCGAGGCGCCGATGGGTGGGACGCGCTTGACGACGTCGTGGACGACGACGATGGACGCGCGGTCGGTCGAGGACGGGCGCGGGGACGCATCGACGTCATCGGTGGGATCGCCGATTACTCGGGGAGCGTCGTGGCGCAGCTGGCGACGCGGGCGGAGACGCGGGCGGAGGTGACGTTCGCGGAGGCGACGGATGGACGCGGGACGACGCGCGCGACGAGCGTGGATGGGGAGACGGGGCGCGTGATGCGATTCGAGGGAGGATTTATGGACGTGTACGACGCGAAGACGTTCGAGACGACGCGCACGAGGACGTTTTTCGACGGCGCGGCGGCGTCGGCGCGATGGGCGGCGTACGCGTGCGGAGCGCTGGGCGAGACGTTTCGAGCCATCTTGGCGGACGACGATGAGACGCTGGCGCGGACGCGGGCGTGGATTAAAGAGATCGCGAAGACGTGCGATTGTGAGATCAGAATCGAGTCGGACGTGCCGCAGGGGAAAGGCGTGGCGTCTTCGGCGGCGGTTGAAGTCGCCGTCGCCCGCGCGGCGTGCGATTATCTCGTGCGCTCGGGCGCGGCGTCGATGTCGAACGCGCGATTTCGTGCGCACGTGCAAATGATTCCTATGTACTGTCATCGCGCCGAGAACGACGTCGTCGGGGCGCCGTGCGGATTCATGGATCAGTACGCGTGTTTCCACTCGATGGTTGCGTCGCCGGGAAATTTTGTGGTGATCGATTGCGATTTACAGAAGACGACGGCGCCGGACGGACCAGAGACGGATTATCGATTCGTCCAGTTGCCTAAATCGCTACGCGTCTGGGGGATCGATTCGGGCGTTCGTCACTCGAATACCGGCGGGTCAGATTACTCGCACGTGCGATGCGCCACGTTTATGGGCAAGAAACAACTCGTGAACGAGATAAACGCTCGATTGAATGAATCGATCGTCTCCAGTGCGGTGAGTCTATGCAGTGTGATGTCAGCGCACGATTGGGACCGTGGTTCGTTGGGTAGTCCGGGCTCGTGGTCGCAACACATCGACGAGTCGATGACGGGAGAGCTGTTCCTCGCGCGATACGCAGGACACGACGACGAGCCGCACACATCCGTTCGCGCGGACGAAACATACGCCCTTCGTGCGTGTGTGTCGCATCCGCTCCGTGAACACGCTCGCGTGAGCGAATTCGTAGAAATCTTAGAGTCCTGGCCCTCGGCGGACGACGACGAAGCCGAAATCCTCCAGCTCGGCCGCCGACTCGGCGACCTCATGTTCGCCTCCCACGAAGGCTACGATTCCGTGGGACTCGGCTCAAGCGCGACGAGTCAATTATTGTACTGCATTCGCGACGCCGATCCGAATCGTGAGCACGTCTTCGGCGCCAAGATTACCGGCGGTGGCGCAGGAGGCGTCGTCGCCGTGCTCGGCCGGGACACCCCACAAGCCGCCGCGGTGATCGACCGCGCGCGCGCCGCGTACGCCGCGTCGACGGATCCGTCGCATCAGCCCGCGATTCTGCACGCGACGCACGCGAGCGATCGAGCGTAGTTGAAGCTGTGGCGCGACTGGGACGGAGATCGGGGCGCGATGCGCGTCGGATGCGTCCTACTCCGTCCCACCGCGCTCGCCTCGAGACGAATCCGCGCGTCGAGCACCTCTGCGATCGTTCGTCCTTTCACGGTGTACCACGCCGATTGGGCGCGCGTGGATCTTCCGGACGGTCACAGGTTTCCGATGGATAAGTATCAGCTCGCGCGACTGGCGTTGCAAAACGATGATACGCTGCGAGGAAAGATCGAGCTCAGGGCGAGTCCGTTGGTCGACATAGAGGATTTAGAGGCGGCACACTGTGGGGAGTACGTTCGTAAGGTGCTGACGCGAACGCTGAGCGAGCAAGAGGTGCGCACGATCGGTTTTCCGATGGGTGAGCAAAACGTAACTCGGAGCTTGGCGTCGACGGGCGGGACAGTGGCGTGCGCACGAGAGGTTTTAGCGGGGTTTGGGGCAAGGGCGGCGGCGCAGCTCGCGGGGGGCACGCACCACGCATATCGAGATCGTGGCGAGGGGTTTTGCGTATTCAACGACATCGGTACGGCGATACGGGTCGTGCAGCGGGACGAGTTACTACCTAGAGATCGGAAGATACTGGTTATCGATCTGGACGTGCATCAGGGGAACGGTACGGCGAAGATGTTCGAGCACGATCAGCAGGTGGTGACGTTTTCGATGCATGGGGAGAAGAACTATCCTATCAAGACACGCGAGCGGTCGACGCATGATGTTGGGCTCCCGGATGACGCAAACGACGAGATGTTCTTAGAACAGCTTGATCATTGGCTACCGCGTTTATGGCAAGAGTACGAGCCTGGGTTGGTGTTTTACCAGGCGGGCGTCGACGCGCTTGCGCAAGACTCGTTCGGTAGGCTCGGGATGACGCGAAACGGTCTACTTCGTAGAAACAACGCCGTGTACTCCATGTGTATCTCGACGAACACACCCCTCGTGATCACCATGGGTGGCGGGTATTCCAAGCCGATTCAGGCGAGCTTGGACGCGCACGTGGACGTTTTTAGATCCGCCGCGATGCGTTACACGGCTCCGTGAAGGTAGATAGCTCTAGGTAGTAAAAAATTGTGTACAAATCATAATCAATCAAATCAAATCATCGTGCGCGTGCCCACAAGCGCATCCGAACGATTCGACGTCGAGCTTAAGCGTCAATCGCCACTCACCGTTATCGGCGTCTATCGCCGGCGAACGATGGACGATGGCTTGCCCCTTGCTCGTCGAGCCGTCGACGTATGTCCATCGCTCGCCCTTTAGCAAACACACCGCGCACTCCCTAACTGCTCTTGGCGGTGCGAACCTCTCCGCCAAACTTTTCAAAACATCCGATACGACGTTTCCACCGCTCGCGTTCGCCTTGGCGATGATCCCGCTCGTGCGCTCGTCCAATACCTCCGTCCCGGCGCCGAAGTACGTAACCATGCAACGCGCACTCGTGTGATCGACGTGCAACCGCGAGCACAGGGTCGATCGAAGCAAACTGAGATTTACCAAGACCCGCTCATCTTTATCCATCGGTACCGCTCGCGCGAACCCCCTGACGACGCGCGCGATGTCATCGCACAGGACATCGAGCGCCGCCTCGCTCGACGTCGCGTCCGCGAACAACGCTCTTCGCACCTCCAGCCCCCCCACGTCCGCGTCGACGCGCGCTTTCCGCTCAAAACTCTCCGCGGTGCGAAAGTACTCGCGAAGGTTCGTCTTCGACAGCGCTTCTCGCACGTCATCGCGCTCGAAAACGATGAACGCGACGTCCTTTTCTGAAATGTTTCGAAAACTCTCGAAATCATCATCTTCGCTCGTTCCGACGCTCCGTCGACGCGTCACCGTCGATGCGGACGCCCTAGTCGCCGCACCACACGCGCGTTCGCTCTTTCCACGGCTTTGCGCGCGCGTGACGGACGAAACGCGCGACGCAAGCGTCATTTCGCGTCGCGCAATGAAAACGTCAGCGGCTCCCTCGCGCGCCTCGTGCGTCGCGCGCGCGCGCGCGCGACGGGCGAGACGCGCGAGACCGCACTCGAGGGCGTTATCGGAAGACGCGTGCGCGCGAGCGTGCGGGTACGACCCGGAGGAGAAGGCGAGAGAGATGTTGTCCAGACTCTTGACGCTGAGCGCGACGCGCGTGATCATGGCACAGGCGGACGGGCAAGGGAATGAGTGCAGCGAGGACGTGAATATTTCAAAGATCACGAGCGTTTTCTTGGATGAGCTGGAGCGGAGGCCGATGACGGGGAACGGGAGCGCGTTCGTGGAGCGCTTGATGGCGAGCGCCGACGGGGACACGCGGTTAGCGGCGGTGAGGCTCATCGAGGTGCGAAGGACGTACGCGGAAGAGGATTTCGATTGGGAAGAGGTTGTAGAAGAGACGGTTAAGTTGTGTGAGAAGCAGAGGCTGGAATTGTTGAAGGATCACGCGACGAAGAGTTTAGACTAGTCAAGCGCTGAATCGTTCGGCTCGGGGCACAAATGTTGTATCAGTAAAGCGGTTTTTGCGAATCACTCGTTGTACCGTCGTCGCGTTCTTCGAAAATCATCATTTCTTCGTCGACGGCGGGATTTCTCCGCGCTCGTAGTACTCCATACGCTCGAAGCGACCGTTTTCGATCCAGAACTGGATTTGCGCGCCGAGCGACGGACCGACGTTGGGTACTTTGAGCTTACCCTTGCTGATTGCGATCCCGTTCGTGACCTCGAAATCGATCTCACGAATACTCATCGCGGCTTTGCGGTAGGAAGCCGCCTTCATCGGGTCCTCGGGCGAGGTCTTCGCCGCGGCGAAGATGGCCTCGAGCGCGGCGCACAGCGCGGCGTTGGCCGGATTCCTCGGCGCCGGTCCACCAGCCTTCTCCTCAGCCGTGAGCGGAGGGAACGACTCCTTGAGCAGGTTGAACGCCGTCTTCACATCATATTCGTCGTTGTAATCGATCGAGGCCTGAAGCTTGGTGTAGCACTCTCGCACGGCGTCATTATCTGCCTGCGGGAGCGTCAGCTTGTGCTCGCGGCAAATCTCCAACATCTTCTTTGCCATGTCGATCGGCGGAAGCGTGCCAAGATCTTCTGGAAACTCCACCGGCTTTTCCATCCCCGCGTTCACGTCATCCTCCTCGTCGTCGGAGATCTCGTCCCCTGGATGGCGCCATGGAAGTCTCGTCTGCGGGGTCTCGTTCTTCGCGTCGTCGGAGTAGTTGAACGAGCACTTCACCAAGCCCCCAATGTTCTTGTCCCAGTACCCCTGGCATCTCCATCTCCCCTGTCCCTTGTGATGCTCATCCTTGTACGTCACTCTGAGCGTCACCTTCTTCGGCGCGCACTTCGGACACATCGGGTACCGTCCCCAGAGCTCTCCGTCGACGCAGTGCGCGACGAAATCCGGCTTCTTATAATTGATGCGCTTGTTCTTCTGTCCAATCTCGCTCTGCGGCATTCTGTTTATCTGTGATCGCGAAGAGAAAATCGTCCGTCAGTTCTCGTCGTACGTTCACGCCGCGCGCGTCGTCGTCATCGTCGTCGTCGTTGTCGTCCAATAATCCTCTTCGCTTTGTCCGGTCGCACCTTCATGTACTGCTTCAACTCATCCAACGTCATCGCGCTATACTTCGCATGCAACGCCTCGTCCTGCACCACCCCGGTCGCGATATCGTATCCTTGCTTCATCGGTTCGTTCTTCGCCTTGATCGATCCCTCGTTCGCGTCACCGTCGCTCTCTTTCTTTATTTTTTTGCTCGCTTTTGATTTTTTCGTAATCTTCATCGTGATCTCCTCGTCGTCTCGCTCCTCTCCGGGCGTGAAATCATCGTCCGAATTATCATCGGTGTACTCTCGCTTCAGCGCTTTCGGTTTTCTGGGCGGCATCGCGCGTTGAGACGCGTCACGGAGTGCGGATGTGCGGTCGAGTCTCCGAATCGCGAATCCACCACCGCAGTGCTCGACGCGCCATGTCCGACGTCGAGGACGTGCGAGTCGGCGCGCGGGCGAAGAGCGTCCACGCGTTGGTCATGCGCGCGCGAGCGATCATGCTCGAGCCTTCGTGCGCGAGAAAGGCGAAGATGACGGCGATGACGAAGCGATGGTGGTCGTCTCTCGGAACGCGTGAAACGGCGATCGATGACGATTCGATGGGCGACGCGGACGTCCGGGGTGCTTTTCGTGGTCTAGAGAGTCGCGCGGAGTGCGCGAGCGTGGTGGAGGAACCGGCGCGGGATGCGTTCGCGGGCGGCGTGGTGGATCCTTCGAAGACCCGGAGGTTGGGAAACGGCGGCACGGACGCGTCGCGGACGGCGATCTTACATTCGCTTGCGAGCATTGAATCGTGGGCGATGATCTTGGCGTGGGATTGTATTCAACGATTCGGTGAACAACGGGCGATGCCGGTCGGGTTTTACGACGATTTCGTAGATTTGGCGTCGGATGAGGGACGACACTTTGAGCTGTTGGCGAAGCGGTTGGAGGAGCGCGGATTGGAACGTTACGGGGAGCTGGAGGCGCACGATGGGTTGTGGAGGACGGCGAGGGAGACGGCACACTCACTCGAGGCGCGATTGGTCGTCGAGCACTGCGTGCACGAAGCCAGAGGCTTGGACGTGCTGCCGACGACGATAATGAAATTTAGGCGAAACGGCGATGAGCCTTCGGCGACGCTCTTAGAGAACGTCGTGTACCCGGAAGAGATCACGCACTGCGCCTCGGGTTTGCGATGGTTTAAGTATTTGCACGCGCGAGACGGCGGTGGGGATGCGACGGAGGAGTACTCGGAGTCGAGCTCGGCGGTGAGCGCGTTTCACGAAATTGTCCGATCGCACTTTAGAGGCGCGCTCAAGCCGCCGTTCAACGACGAAGCACGCGCGAAGGCTGGTTTCACCCCGGTGTGGTACGAACCGCTCGCCGTGAAACCGTTCGTCGTTGACAAGGCGTAGGATTACATTTCATGCAGTAGACGATAGACTAGTTTTTTGTAGCGGCGACTACGGACGTCGATCGATCGAGAAGAACACGAACGCCGCGCCGATCGGTTCCATCCCATCAATCATCCCCATCCTCCGTCTCGCGCGCTCGTATCTCCACCGCGCGCGCGTTCGACTCAACACTCTTTCGTACGTTGCTCACGAGCGCGTGCGCGGAATCTCGCACGATCGCATTCGACCGCCCCGAGCCCGAGTCGTCCGTCGCCGCGCGCTCGACAACTTTCCCTGCGAGCTCACACGACTTCTTCGCGCGCTTAAACGCCCGCGCACCGTCCTCACTCGTCGTGTTCGCGAACGACGCGACCGTTTTCGCCGTCTCGCTCGACGCGGACGCCCGCGCGCGCGCCATCTGTGGACGAGAAACGATCGAGACGTCACTTGTTGGCACCCCGCGCGCGACGACGCGCGCGACGCACCCGTTCGTTCGTCTCGCGGACGACGCGCTCGAGCGCGCTCGCGGCGGTGCGCGCGGTGACTTGGACGTCGTCGATGTCGTTCGTGGCGCGAGACTTGGTGCGTTCGCGCATTTTGAGGCGCTCGAGAGTGCGGTTTCGTTCGAGAGGAAGAATTCGCGCGCGCACGAGACGAATCGTCGCGATACCGACGCTACTTAGATGACATGACGACTTTTACTTCTTCGACGGTTTCATCGCGAATGAAACTTTCCCAGCGTTTGTGGGCTTGACCCCGCCCGCGTGGGTGGCCAAGCGCGTCGGCGGCGCCGGCGAGGCGGAGGACGCCTGCTCGCGGCGCTTTGTCGCCATCGGATCGGCTTGCTTGGTTTGAGCCGCCCGAACCTGACCGCTGAGAACGACGTAGGGCGTCGCTTGCTCGCGCTGAGTGGTCTTGATGCGCTCATCCATGACACTAGATTGCTGAAGCCGTTTTTGTTCCTCTTGATACTGCTGCAAACGCTTCTCGCGCTTCATTCGTCCCGGTTCAATTCCGTGGAATCGATGGCACAGCTCTCTAAACGCCTCCTTCGGAGTGAGTTTGCGCCCGAACTCGTCGAACTTGTCCAATCTGAAGCCAAACTTGTATCCATCGCTCGTCGTCGCGTCGTCCACGGCGAGCGCCTCCAGGACGTGCTTCTTGTCGTGATGATCCTTCAAATCATTCGCGCGACCGCTCCATCGCGTGTTTTGCGTATCGTCGAGTTGCGCCTTCTCCTTGAGCAGAGCCAGCGTGCTCGCCAAGCCTTGTTTTACGACGTGCTTTTCGGCGAGTACCGGTACGACGTCCGTCGTCGGCTCCGTCTGCACGTCGGGCGGCGGTGGGGGCACGTCCGGCATCTCGTCTTCGCCGTCGGCGGGCGGCGGCGGCGGTACGTCGGGCATCTCCTCCTCTCCCGGCGGCGGCGGTGGGACGTCGGGCATCTCGGCCTCGATCAGGTCGTCATCATCGTCCTTCGCGTTGGTGATTCCTTGAACGAATTCGGACATGTCGGTGAAGACCAAGGACTCGGCGGGCGCCTCGGCGGTTTCGCGAGCTCGGGCCTCATCCGCGAGACGCCGCGCCGCCACCTGAGCGGCGATGTCATCTGGTGCCGCTCGCGCCGGCTTTGCCGCCGCCATCTTTCGACTCCTCGCCAACGCGCGCGCGAGCTCGTCGTCCTCGTCCTCCTCGATTTCACCAGCCATCTCGGCGAGAATTTTCTTGTCGGTGACCTCGCGCGCCTTTTGCAAAGCGTTGACAAATTTAGCATCCTTTTCCGTCGTTTTCTCCTCCTCAGCCGCCGCGCGCTCACCGCGAGCGCGCCGAGAGCCGTGATCTCGCGTTTCGGGCGCCATGGCATCGTTTTCGAGCTCTGCGGCGTCGATGTGCTTCGTTCTCAATTTTTTGCGCATCTTCTTCTTCTTCTCGCGCTTGACAAACTTTGCCTGCATCTCCTCCTGCGTGTGAAAGTCAGCCTGCTGACCCTTCACCATCTCAGCGGTGTCTAATTTACCCCTGATCCCGGACAGTTCGGCGACGAGACGAGCCTTGATCTCAGCCTTTCGCTTTTCCTCGGCGGCGTCGATTCCGCCCTCGCCGTCGAGCTCCATCGCCTCCGCGTCCTCCTTCGCGTCGTACTTCCCGAGCACCGTCTTATCCCGCGCGTCCGCCTCGGCGAACGGATCGTCGGTCGCGCGCTTCGTCGCCTCCCTTCTCGCCTTTTTCCTCGACGCGCGTTCCGCCATTAACACGTTTTCCAATTCGTCCTCCGCGTCTTCGTCCAACACGCTCGCGTCCCTCAGCGTCAGCACCGTCTCCCGTCCCTCCGCGATCTCCTCCGCGGCGTGTCGAACCTTGATCCCTCGCAAATCTTTCGACGTGTACGTCGCCTCGGCGCCGCGTTTCGTCGCCTCGGCGCTCGCGTCGCTCGCGCTCGCGCTCGCCTCCGCGTCCGCGTCCCGCGCGTCCAACATCGCCCCCACGCG